AGGGCAGGAGCAAGCAGGACAGAACAAACTTTTATCCTCCTACTGAGAATGGTGCAGTTTTAATCTCATCTCTGGAATTTAATGTTCCCGGGTTGATGCTCTCCATGGGATAGTGGAACTGCAGGAAGAGGAACAGCAAATAAGGGGGTACTAATGGATGAGGAGGGAGGGGCCACAAAGCACAACACTGGGAAAGAAGAGGGAACAAGTGAGGTAGGGGCCATGAATGCCATAGGCAAAGAGGAATCTGGGTGGAAACGTGTTGACCCCTTTGAGACTCAGTGGAAACTCTGGATGATGAGGGCTTTAATCACCTTAAGTGAGTGGCAGTGAATGCACAGGACAGGCATGGGCTGGAGCCCCTCCAGTCCAATGTGTTAGCCTTTGACCTTTTATTTTGTTGTATTTTAAGAAATATTATTCTTGTGCTACTTGTGGCTCAAGAATCAGAGTTAACAACATTAGTTAGCTCTAAGACAGGAAGGCATGGTGAGAAGGCCTGGGTGGAGGAAGCTCCTCACATCACGGAGGCCAGGAAACAGGTGAGTGAGAAGCTGGGAGGTGGGGAATGAGATGCTCCACCCCAGGTCTTGTCCCAGGGACTGACCCCTCCCAACCAGACTCCACCACCTAACAGCAAGTCAGCTCTGTATTCCCAGGATTCAATTTCTTTCAAAGACCTATGAGTGCATGAGGTTTTGAGGGGCATCCAGATATAAGCAGTACCCCATTTTATAGATGAGAAAACTAAGATTTAAAGTGCTTAAACAATTTGGCCGTGATATGATAGCCAGTAAGTAATGAGCCAGGATTCAGAAAAGACCACTATTGCCCACTGTTATTGCCCAAGTTGTTTTTGTGAAAACCCTACAAATGGTTATTAAAAGTTGGTTGCTTAATCTCTCCCAAAAGTTGGTGTCCACCTGAAACATGCAAAAGTAAACCTTCTTTTTAAGGTGGGGTCTTTATAGATGTTATCAAGTTAAGCTGAAGTTATACTAGATTACCACGAGCTCTAAATCCAGCAATTATCCAATAACTGCTCTCTATTTTATGAAAACAGAAATGTAGGCAAAAGGTCACAAAAGAAGAAGGTCATGTGACAGGGGAGAGTACAAATAATGCAGCTGTAAGCTAAGAAACACCAAGGGTGCCGGCATCCAGCAGGTGCTAGGAAGGGGCCTGGAACCCATGAACAGATTCTCCCTCAGCGCCCCGGGAGGAACTAACACTGTCTAACCTTGGCTTCAAACTTCTGGCATCCCAAATTACAAGAGAATTCCTCTTGCTTCAAGTCATCCATGGGTGGCATTTTGTGATGCAGCCCCAGGAAATTAATACACTAAGTGACCACATAAAGTATGATGATGAAGGTAAAAATTTGTCCCCAAACATTTTTATTTTTGTTTGACAACATGTCTGCATACATATACATGCGCACGCATATACCACAAATATACACAAAAGTATGCATAGATGAATTTCCCTTTATATCGTTCCTTCCATTTTGAAAGTTGTATGTACAAACTCAGATTTTAGGAAACTGAGTATTCCTTTTTTTTTTTGTCACTGGGGATCGAACTCATGACCACACGCTTGCCAGGCAAGAGTTTATGCCACTGAGTTAAATCCCCGGCCCAAAACTGAGTATTCTTATAGACACTGCTGGTAGGGACAGCAGTCGTGACAGTCAATCTGGCAGTATATATTACAATTGAAAGCACATAATTCCTCTGCCACAGTAAGCTCATTTTGATGATCAAACTCAGCAAAATACATGTGTGAGTGAGGATCTTCCTCACACGTGGAAAATAACCCAAATGTCAATAACTGCAAGTGTCAAAGCAACACACAACAGGAACCAGCTCCTGAACCCAGGGAATAAGAGACGCAGTCACCTCTGCCATTCTCCTGACCATGTTTCTTGATTTAAAGGTGTCCAGGGCTCACCATGGGCCTCCAGGACTCCAGATCACCTTTAAAGAGCTGTAGGCGAGGAGCCTGTGTTTTGCACCTGGGCAAAGCCTGAGCAGCTCTCCCCGGGACCAGAGTCTGTAGCAAGTCCAGACCACAAGCCTGCAAATCAACACAAGCACACTTGCAACTGAACGGACACTGCAGGGAAAGTTCACCACAGTTTTCCACACATCAGGCCTTCTGAGCCAAGGTTCTCAGGTTCCAGGCACCTTATTGCCTATGCTGTTAAGATGTGAGCCCTCAGGGGAGCTCTGCCTGCCATCTGCCTCCTGACCACCCCTGGCCAAAGGTCAGCCCCAGTGGCCTCTTGTGACCTGCTGACAAGTGGAGGTCGCTGTAGTTTACACTCAGATTTCATTGCGGTCCGTGACCAGCTGCTCAGTTACTGACTGGGATTGGTAATTCTGCTTTCAATAAATCCATAGAAGGGAATGCAAACCATGAGGAGGATCCTCATGTTGGAGGATGTCGAATCCTTCTGGCCATCACAAGGAGAGAGGGCCCTGGGTTTGTTCAGGAGACTCCCCACCTCTACCCACCCCTAAGTGAGCCCCCTGACTCCCCACCCGAGCTGATATTCTGCTGCCCATGGTTCTCCCTGTGAGTTTCAAACTGGGACCCAGAAACCAGGGTCACTCCCAAGTCTCGGTCTAGAACCCCAGAACATGAGGCCTGAAATGAACCAGTTAGGTGAGACTGGGGGCTAAACTCTGCATTGTACAGGTGAGAAAACTGGGCTCTCAAAACAGGAAATGACCCACCCAATACCCTCAGCTAGCTAGAGGCTGGATGTGGGCAGAAATGGCTTGAGTGGGATCTTCTTTTGGGCTTACCTCCCTCTACCTCACTGCCTGAGACCTCCTTCCCATCCTCCCGCTGGGGGGTCACCTCCCCTGGGAATCCCTCCCATGTCCCTTGTCCTTCCAGGCAGAGCTCAAGGCTCTGGTGTTTCAGAAGGCCCTGTCTCTCATACCAGGTAGCCTGTTAGAGGGCTGGAACCAGGCTCTGACCCTCTGGCTCTACCTCCACACAATAGACAGCTTGAAAGAGGATCACTTCATTGCTCTTTCTTCTCCGTGCCTGGCACTGGGAAGGGCACAGTGCATCAAAATCTACTTAGGGGCACATCTCGATCAGCACCCAGCACTCAGCCCTCACTGTCTAAATGGAGTCTCAGCAGCCAAGACTCCTGCACCTGGCTCACTTCAACACAGACTTTTTAAGTGCTTCTGAGTTCCAACTAGGCCACGGGATCCAGGAGCACAGAACTGATTTCTACAGAATCCCAAAGGCCCAGCACAATGGTCAGTTCTTAGCCTTCATGCGCATTAGTGCCTCTCAGAAGCCTCAATCATGCAGGCCACACACCCCGGGGGGTGAGAGCCTGACATCAGATATTTTTAATTCCTCAAGTGGTCCCAGCCAACATTAAGAAACATTTTTCCAGAAAAATATCACACCAGCATCTACCCACTGTCAGTGCCATTGTGGGTGGGAAGAGATGCACAGAATGCCGCAGAATAAACGGGGACAGAGGTTGTTGGCTTTGTGGTCTGCACTCCTCTCTCAGGCCCACTGACTGATGAACTGAGGCAGATAACCATGGTGTGGCACTGCCGAATATTTATCACATCCATAGTTGTGACAACCAAAAATGTCTCCTGACCTTGTTAAATCTTCCCAGATGTAGATAAGCAAAATCACCCCTGATTCCAGGCAGCTTGCCCCAGTCTCTCTGTCCTACTCTGTGTCCCTGGCTCAGGGATTCCCACTCTCCTGGTCTCCCACTGCATCTCTGTCCATCCTTTCCCAGCCCTCTCGGTAGACCAGCCACCAAATGATTGCATAAGTGTTTCACACATCAGCTGGAAGTCACAAGACCACTTTTCTAACTGGACAGCCTGCCCGAGGCCTCGGACGCAGGGATGAGCGGGATTGAGTGGAGTACAGAACTAGGTGGGAGATGGAGACTGAGTCAGCAGTCAGTTCTATGTGGAGGAGTCGCAGAGAAACCAGGTCAGGCAGGTTTAAGGTCATTGAGAGGAGTGGGTGCTAGTCAGACCAGAACAAGCAGGAAAACAGCAAAATTACAAAGCTGGAGGCAAGGACAGTGTCCTCAAGGATCCAGGCAAGTGGTGAGCATGAGCTCCTCGAAGGCGCTCTGGGAAGGTCTGGCCATGGGTTAGCAAGGGTTGGGGCCTGGAGTCTAGCGCAGCCTGCAGGCCGGCCCAGGAACGGGTGGAGGAGGGGACAGGGGCAGGAAGTGGGGCTGTGACCTCCAAGTCCACCTGTTACAGATGCCTAAGCTGCCATGAGGCTGCTGGGTGCAGGTGCTGGCAGAGAAAACATCAAGCAGCAGCCTCTGAGCCCCTTATGGTCAGGCACCTGGCCAAGGTGACTGCTTCCCAGGCCTTTGACCACCTTACCTCTACCCCAGATTCCAGTTTCTGTCCTAACCCTGTGTCCCTGGCTCAGAGATCCCCGCTCTCCTGGTCTCCCACTGTATCTGTGTCCATTCTTTCCCAGCCCTCTGGGGCCTCCTCTTTCTCTGCAGCCCTCTGGGTGTGGGGTGTGGTGTCTCCACCCCGCAGACCTGGGTCTCTTTGCTTCTTGGTTGCCACCACAGGTCGCATCTACCTGAGGCTGTAACAGGGCTCCCATCTCGCAGCCCACGCTGGGACCAGCATCAGATTAGTTCAGAATGAAAAAGCAGTCATGCATGCATTCACAGAATAGTCTTTCTTTCTTTCTTTCTTTCTTTCTTTCTTTCTTTCTTTCTTTCTTTCTTTCTTTCTTTCTTTCTTCTTTCTTTTCAATAGAGGGGACTTGACACAGGATCTTCACATCCCCAGCCCTTATTTTATTTTAGTTTTTGAGACAGAGTCTTGCTAAATCCCTCAATTGCCTAGGCTGGGCTCAAACTTGCAGTCTTCCTGCCTCAGTCTCCCGGAGTGCGGGAACTAGAGGTGTGCACTACCACACCTGGCTAATAGCATCTTCTTTAGCCAGGGCCACGTACTCACTCGCATGGGCTCGTCGGGGAATCCAGGTTTGCTGGGCCTGTCATATCTCCGGGACCTCAGGAGCTGCTTGGCTTCCTTTTCCTTCAGAATCGGGGAGGACTCTGAAAAACACAGGAAGGTGCGCAGGGCCTCTCAGACCCTAGCTTCTTTTCTGTGTCTATGGCCCAAAGCAAAGGATTTGAAAGTGGAATTTTGGTTAAAACACAGAGGTTCTTTCCTGGAGACCTGCTCCAGAGGAAGCACCATTCCAGACAGCTTGGAAAAGAATTTTTAAATGGTGTCTCATTAGATTAAGAAAAAAAAAGCTGCACGATTTAAATCTATTTACCTCTTGTGATGACCCATTCCTGTACAAATTCAGCATGAATTTACTATGTTTCCAAAATATATATATTTTTTCATTTCTCTGGTCTGTGCCTCTCTTTCCTCAGTTTTGCTTTAGTGGGATTTTCTTTTGTTCTAAATCCTCAGTAGACAAGATCAAGTTTGAAGTTGTTTCTGGAAGATTCCCAGTCACAACAAGATTACATTAAACTTGTTCACCACAACACCCCTCAAAGAGGAACTTATGATAATAAAAGTAAATTATTTGAGCAATCACATGCAAATGCTAAAAAAAGTTAACATAATCAAAGCACATCAAATTTTGGTGATCTTCTATGACCCCTAAAGGAGGGCAGATTTGAGGGTTTGGCAGCATTTTTGATGGATTAGTACTCAATTAGTGCTGAAATACATTTAGAGATTTTTTGATTTTTAGTCCTGGAACTCGAACTCGTGACCTCGAGCTTGCCAGGCAGGTATTTGGGGCACTGAGCTAAAACCCCCACCCTTAGAGATTTTATTTTTGCAAATAATAATTAGCTAAAGACCTCAAGATAGTAATCCTAGAAGTCTGCCCTTACAGAAAGAAAAGAAAGCACGGAAACATCTATGCAATACATACTATATCGTATTTGAAGTGAGAGGAAAAATACCAAATACCCTCCTATTCCAGATTATCACATTGGCCTAGAAATAAGCTGTGCTTTTGGAGTGGTTCCCACCTGACACGCAAGCCAGCAAGGCGCCGGCGAGGACCAGCACCAGCCACTTCTCCATCCCACCGCAGCTTGGTCTCTGCAAGTCTCTGCAGCAGAATGAGTTCTCCAGGTTGAGCTGTGTCGTGGGTGTTGCCGCGGATGCCAAACCCAGCACGGCACTTGTTTATACTCTAGCGGGACTCACCGTGTGATGCTAAGCATGTGTGACACTGTGTTCGCAGGAAGGACTGCAAAATTGTTTTTCTCTGAATTCCTTGAATTTTCATCCTGAGGAAGGAAATGACTTCCAGAGATGCCTTTGAGAAAACCACCAGCAGTATTAGTTTCGTGTAGACAGCTCAATCTAGTGTGCTCTTCCGCTGGTTTCTGAATGTTTGTTTGTGCTTTTTCATTTCACTGAGGTGGCTTTATGTGTGTTTGTTTTGTTCCTCTGTTTGTGCCAGACAGGATCTCACTGCTCTAGTACAGGTTGGCCTTGAACTCCTAGTGATCCTCCTGCTTCAGCCTCCCAAATGCTGGGATTGCACACCTGCGCCTCCACATCCAGCTTAGTTCACTATTAATCTTTCCTCATATTTGCATATCCCATGATATTTTCCCAGAGTCTATTCACCAATCTAGTTTGAACCTTCCTCCCACCCAATAGTTTCAAAGGCAGGTGGGGAAACTAGCAAGAGGCATCACAAAGCGGGGGGAGTGTTTTCCAGTTGACTTTGGAGCCCAAAAGACCAGAGTTCAAATCCCATTTTTGCCTCTGATTAGCATGGTATCTCTAGGTAAGTCACACACCCCTTCTGTGTTTTCTGTGCTGTGAAAAGGTCACAGTGCCTGCCTAGCGGCCTGCGTAAAGACTGAGGCCAAGCTCTAAACTGCATGTTACCTGCTACTGTGCCCTTGTAGCCTTCTCCTCACAGTTAGAGAAAGTGAGGTCGAGAGATGTACAATGAAATTCAAGCTCACACACTGGATGCTGAGGGAAAGCTAAGCTTCTGTCTTTTAACCAATAATGCACTGGGTGTGGGCGTGCACAACTGTAATCCAGCACTCAGGAGGCTGAGGCAGGAGGATCCCTGCAAGTTCAAGGCCAGCCTAGGCTACATAGTAAGTGCAAGGCCAGCCTAGACTACATGGGTAGGGGGCTACTTTTTGGAGATGGTAAAAACTTTAAGATCTGGGACCTAAAGAAAAGCCCAAGATCACTGTAGGTGTTCTGGAAGGGGTTGTGGGATCCCGGCTCCTTCTCGTCTTTCTTCTACTCCCCAGCTGGTGATGAAGCAGTTTTACCCTACCACACGCTCCATGCTGATCTGCGTTGCCACAAACTCAAAACAATGGAGCCCCTGGGCATGGTGGTGCTCGCCTGTAATCTGAAGGCTGAGGCAGAAGGATCACTGCGATTTCAAGGCCAGCTTGATGTACATAACAAAACCCTGTCTCAACAAGACCAAAAGCAAAAAACAAACAAAAAAATAAAAACACAGAGCCAATTGATTGTGGACCACAAACTCCCAAACCATGTAAAGAAACAGTACCTCATGCAGGGTCTCGATAAGACTAAGCAGCCGAACACCGGACAGGAGGCTATTTTCATAAAGATAAGCAAATCTCAACAAGCTGAAATCCTCTTCAATTCATCTATAAGCACCCTGTGAGCCAGGTGCAGTGGTACGCTGCTATAATTAAAGCTACTTAGGAGGCTAAAGCAGGAGAATCACGAGTTCAAGGCCAGCCCAGGCAATGTAGCAGCACCCTGTCTCAAAAATAAAAAATCAAAATGGTTGGAGATACAGCTCAATGGTAGAGCATCCCTGGGATTGACCTCCAGGACCAATCAATTAACCCGTCTTGTCCCATGAGGATATTAGTCAATGTATTAAAAATGGATCTGGAAGGAATGTAACATATTTACATAATACTCTGGAGAAATGTGCTGATGTCTCTCTGGCCACTTCGCCAGTTCCAAAGAAAAGAAAACCTGATCTGTAGTTGTCAGAGTGTATGCTAATGCTGTGTAACTGGCACCAAACCAAAACGGTCTGCTCCTCAGTTGGTGTAAAGATGCTCTGAGAGGTTTGTAACCCAGGAAGAAAATCACACATTGCTAGCAAAGTTCCCTCACATGTTAGTTCAATTTGGTGTTTGATTTTATGCGCTCTGTGCTATTAAAATCATTCTTGTTTCATGTAGATTTCAATAACTACAGACTTTTAGAACCATTACTTTAGGAATCTATGTATCTGTCACTTGAATACCCTGGGTGTTTATGCGTGTATTCATCTTTTACATTCCTTTTCTCTGTTTGGTTGGATGGAACACAATTATTTTGTTATAGCAAATAAACACCTTCCATAGGACAGGAAAAAAATCTGCTAGCTAGAAATTTCTAATGTGAACAATGTAAGTGAACTCTAAATGTATTCCTTTAATTTAGGAATTTTTGTCGATATCAGGGATGTCCAGTAAAATCATAATACGAGCCACAGATGGAAGTCACATAGATAATTCAGATTTTCCAGCCAACAGGAGGTGAATACCTGTAATCCAGCTCTCCTGAGGCAGGAAGACTGCCGTGAATTCAAGGCCAGCCTGAACTACATACTCAGACCCTGTCTATAGAACTAACCTCTAAAAGTTTCTAGGTAGCCACATTCTTAAAGGGTTAAAAAAGAGATTAATTTTAAAATATTTTATTTAACACATTGCAATATCCAAAATATTAGCACATTATGGTATGAATATACACAATTAATTTCAAAATGCTTCTCATTTTTCATAGCTAGCCTTCAAAACTTGTCATACATCATGGACATTTGCATTTTCTGCACTCTGCAGCCCTGGGTGGCTGGTGGCTTTGATGCCAAGCATCAAGGCCACTGTCGCCTCTCACCCACCTTTGCTCTAGGTCCCCACTGGCCTCCCAGCTGAAGCACCTCAGTGATCTTCCCACCAGACTCAAGAAGAGAAAGAATCCTTACCACACTCTACAGGACCCTGGGTTCTCCATATCTACACCTCTCTCCAGCCCTATTCAGACTACTCCCCTCCAGCTCACTACAGTCAATTATTTTCGATTTAACAAGCTCTTTCCTACCTCAGGACCTTTGCATATGTTCTTTTTACGATTAAATCCTTCAGATTTCAATTTCAGATTTCTCCAGGTGAGCCTGGCCTTCCCTGCCTCCTTAATCAAAATCCCTTTCTCACCCCACCCCTCCAGCCACCACCATTGTCTGCCTCCTAGAACTCACCATAATTTGTGTTGTATTTACTTTTTTAAATCAGTCTCCTCCACTGGATGATAAGCTCTAAATAAGGTTGTGTCACTTCTCTAATGAGCTGAGAAATGACACTGAGAATTACTCTTGGGTCACACCCTGGGATGCAGAGACTCAAGTGGAGAGGTCCCTCTGCTGTGTTACAGGCATCGCCTTTGAATGCCCTTCAGCTTGGCCCCTGGGGATAACACCCCAAAGTGAGAAGCTCTATAAGAAGAAAGAGCAAGGCCCCTTGTATGGCATCACCCTCATATGGAGAATTCCTTGATGTTCCCCCACCAGGTGCCAGCTAGATAGTGGGCGAGTTGGTCGCTCAAGAGAGGACGCAATTCCCACCAAATCCACCAGGTGGCACAGTAGAGAGAAGAAATGAGGACAGGCTTAGGCAGGAGAAAAAGCTCAAGGCCGCCAAGGTTAACTAGAAGTCGCCAGGGGTCCCAGGGAATCGCTGGGGATGAGAAGCATGGTGCCTAAGACGACTTCCCTGCTCGTTCTATGTGAAAGTCTTCATCGCTGCTAAGGCTTGAGAATATAGTACCATTTTGGCAACATTTAAGAGCACATAAGCAAAGAATGTCACTGCCCGTATTTAAAGCACCCTAGCCTAATCTAAATTTTTTTTTTTTTTTTTGAGGCGGTGCTAGAGATCAAATTCGGGAACTTGTACATGTTAGGCTAGGCAAAGGCCCCCCCACTAAGCCACAGACTCAGCGCCTCCCCGCCCCCACTCTACACCCCTTTTTTTGGAGTTAAATTGCCCAGGCTGGCCTTGAATTTGTGATCTTCCTGTCTCAGCCACCAAGTAGGTGGGATTACAGTCAAACTAATATTTTCCTTTATATGAGTGTCTCATTTCTTTTTCAAAGGAATTCTCAAATTGCACAGATGTTTAAGGATCAGTAATAAAGCAAACACTGTAGTAGTCTCCACAATGTCACATGGAATATTGTTTTAACCAAAAAAGACAGTGATTTCAAATTATATAGGCCAAAGAAATTTCCGGAACATAGGAACTTTTTATAAGTATAGAAAGATACTGAATTTGGAGACTGGGGATGTAGCTCAGTGGTAGGGCATTGGCTTGGCATGCATGATTCCTAGGTTTGAGCTTCACTAAGTATCACATAATATTGAATTTGTGAGAGCTGGGGATTTAGCTCAGTGGCACAGTGCCGGCCTGGCAAGTGCAAAGTCCTGACTTCAATTCCCGGTTCCCCGCCCCCAATTTTTTTTAATGGTATATATGAAAGAAAAAGAAAAGGAAGGATATGAAATCTATCCTAATCAAGAGAATTACATGTCCATATTTTTTAGGCACAGGTCAGCTATACAAATTCCAACAGATCTTTCCAAACTTGTTTTCTTTTTTTATTATCTACCTTCTCAACTAGATTATACAGTCTATATTTTTACCTTGTACATATAATTCTTCTATCATTGCTAACACAGTGACAGCAACTATGTAGCCTGCATACCCAAACATGCACACATTAATAGATAATTTCCGGCAAATGTTAAGTTTGGGAAGGTGTCAGCATCAACATTTCACCTCATGCACTTTGACTTTGGGTTGGACTGAGTTTTTTGGGCAATGGGATGATAGCAGATGTGACAAACAGGGGCATAAAATGTACTTGTGAAGTTAATGCACTCAAACCAGGCCAGCCTAACTCAACTAGCCTCCAGTAACCACAGCTAGGAGCAGAGCCACCATTGATCTGCAGATCCTTGAGAATAAATTATTTTAGCCACCAATTCTAGGGATGGTTTGTTACACAGCGTTATTCTGACAGTAGCTAACTGACAAAGAAAATTGTAACAGGATGCTTAGGTTGTTCACATAGAGATACTACTAGGTCATCATTACCATCAGGTTGCACAAGAATGTCATTGAAAAGCAAATGAGTACCTCCATTAGAGGCAG